TCAATCATATTTGTTATTTTTCAATATATTGATAAGCATATTCCGTCAGAATATCCGAATTATGAGAACTATCATCCATACAATCAGATTTTTAAAATTAATAGAATCTATTTTCCCTTAAAATATGCAATTTCCTTTTTTAAATTTATGTTAATTAACTAAAATACCCTTAGAATGAAATTAGATGGTATTTTTTAATTATCTTTAATTTAATAATATGTATTATTCACTTTCCAAAAATAAGAAAAATGATTGGCCCACAATCATTCCTACATCCATACAATAATTAGTTAGAATAGAATAACCTAAGCCTATATATATATATATATATATATATATATATATATATATATATATATATATATATAGAGAGAGAGAGAGAGAGAGAGAAAGAGAGAGAGAGGGGCGCGGGGGGGGGGGGGGGGGGGGGGTGGAATTGCTTTTCAGAGGCTATCTGACGGAAAATGTGATATCACAGGGATACAACAACAACATTGGAAAAGGTTGACTCAGAAAAGATATCTAGAGAAGAAGAAGTCATGCGAGGAGGAAATTGAAGGCTCGGGGGCAAGGGTCATTCAAAGAGGAGGCAGAAGCAAATGATGTTGTAGAAGAAGTCGGGGAATGAGCTCTAGTTTGGTGTCGATGGCTATATTATTATTTAGGAGGAGAACGATGAAAAGGAAAAATGTTGAGCATAATAAAGGCACATCCAACGACTATTAGAGAAGGTCGTTGGAGGTGGAGGGCGGCGGCTACAGGTTGTGGTCGGCAGTAGAGCTTTAACCTAAAAAATTTATTCCATGAAAGATAATGGATTGCTTATTATAATGATGATTTAACCTCATATAAATAGAAATATAAAATGAGTTTTTTGCATAACATAAACCATAATGAGTATTAGCTTAACCTTAATCACTAACAATAATCATATGTAAATCACTAAGTATCGTGTGAATATGTAATTTATTGTTGATCAATCGTCTTAAGATCAATCATTTTAAGAGTTTAATGATAAATTAACGAATTAAATCAATTAAATTTTTTAGTTAGTCCCTTAAAATCTAAATTTTGATAAGTTGACTTAAATCTAGTCAATTTTCTTGAAAATGATTGGTCTACGATCGATTATGAATTATGATGAAGATATAATCAACTTGATTAAGTTGTGTACTTAAACACCGGAAATTTGATTGGTATAATCGTATAAGTATTTCTTGAACTCTATGAAATATTAAAATTTTGGTATATGATAAGTATTTTTTGAACTGTATGAAATATTGAAATTTTGGTATGATGTATCTCTTTTCTTTCAAAATTAAATGCAGCTTCGGAATTGATTTATGCTTATTTTATATGCTATAAAAATATGCAAAAACAATATATTTTCAAAGTCCCAAGAAATTCAATACTTTTAAGATTCATGTTATAATTAATTTTATATTTACCAGTTATTATAAGTGGAACATAAATATTAATTAGATTATGAAGGAGAAAGCGTTTGAGAGTCTGATTTACAGCCAAATCTTCTGAAACTTCGATTGCATTGCCGGGTAAACCACTCAAGTCACATTCAACCCTTCTAGAACACCTTCTTTCTTACAGTTAGTCTTACACAATTATAAGAGGATTTTTCTATTCTTTTATTCTTTTTATAATTTAGTAATATTTCTTCACAATAGATAAAGATTTTAATGACACTAAAACCGACGATGATGATGCAAATACATGTGTGATCCAAAAAGGAGACTATTATATTCCTTCATAATTACCCTTGTAAAGATATTAATTCATCCTTCTCAACAATTTATTTTCATTGTGTCAGAAGACTTTGCCATTTTATATGGCTTACTCCAATCAATCTATTGTTCTTGAAGGCTAAGAATATTGATTCATATATCCTTGACGGAAATTTTATGCCTTATAACTTGTGCTTATATATTTTTCTTTAACCTTGAGATTCGTGGAAAATCGAATTCTTGAAGTATTGTATTCATGAAATTTTAGACTTTTGGATTCTTAGAAATGGAGAATTGTAAAACAATAAAATTAGGAATAAGTGTCCGTGTTGTTGTTGAGTTTTTGTTTTTCTTGGAACCGTTGGTATATTAATATTGATCACTTTTTTATGTATATTTTTAGTATTAAGTGAAATAGTGAATAGTATATTTAATATATAATCACATTTTATTTTCTTTCCATAAGGACCATTTGTACACATTTGTCATTGTTGTAAATTTAATATATTATTTTAATTATTTTAAAATAAAAAGGATCGCTCAACACCCGTCCCAACCATCCCCTTCCCCTTTTCTTTCTTTGATCACAAGTGATAGTCGATCCAAAGAGTTATGGTGAACACATACAACAAATTTGATGGTATATTACGTACAAAAAAAAAAAGAAATGGACCAAATGTGAACAAAATCAACAGTCGGTTATCCTCCTGAGTCATTTTCCCTAAGAAGTTAAATGAAATTAAAGTTGCAAAAGCATCAAAGGCTGCAACTTTCTTAGGTCATAACGTACATGAAGAGCGTTTCGGAGGGGTAGCTTGATCAAAACATGGTATATGTTATACCTATTGTGGTTAGTTGTCAACAACTCTATGCAAAATGATACGACTATGTATGGGAGGTATATTTATCAGCATAAATGTTTAACTCATGGTATATTATGGTGTTGTGTTTGCAAAAGTTGCATGATCATGTACATATTGATGTTGAATTTTATCCCATGAATTCAATCTTAAAACCAAGTAAACTCAAAAATCACAACACTTGTGATTCCACTCGTTTGTAGACTTGTCCAGAATCCATGATACGATTAATCATTTGATTGGAAATGTAAATATGGTCAAGAAATGCACATGCTCAATCAAGATTCCTCTAATAAATATTCAAGTGCATTACAAAGTTGTACATGTATGAATAATGTTCTTTCGTGGGTTATGTTTTGAAGAGAAGCAAGAATGAATCTCATAAAGTCATTAATATGAGCAGGAGATGACATGGGATTTCTTGTAAATGAGTAAAGGGAAAATGACTCAGTAAGGTAACCAACTGTTAATTTTGTTCATATTTGGTCATTTTCCCTTTTTTGTATGCAATATACCATCGAACTTGTTGTTTGTGTTCATCATAACCTTTTTGACCGGCTATCACCTGTGATAGCCGATCAAAAGGGTTATGGTGAACACAAACAAGAAGTTCGACGGTATATTGTGCACAAAAAAAATGAACAAATGTGAACAGACTAAACAGTTGGTTACCTTCTTGAGTCATTTTCCCAAAATTAAAAACCTTAAAGCATTTGTAATAAAAATACTTTTCATTTAATATTTTGGTGTTTTTTGGTGTTAAGTCATTGTCAAATCATCAACCTAAAAAGTTTATAAATATCCATTATAAAAAAAGTTAACTCTATACGTACCCTAATTATTTGGTTTACCCTACGTAAGTGTGTGAGTTTTTGTGTATTCCCTGATGTTTGATTTTTTATATGAATGAAGAGGTACACATAATAACACCCTATAAAAATTGTCTAAGTCATCAACCTAAAAAGTTTTATAAACACTCATTAGAAAAAAACGCTTTTGGATATGTTTTCACAATATAAATCAAAGACAAAATATATAAATATTTTATATAAATATATGAATATATAAGTATTATTTTGTTAATAAATAAATAAATAACTTATCATAGAGTTTGTAATGAACAAGCTCGTTGAAAAGACTCTCCATGTAACTTCTTGTTAAAATGGTGGAAACTTCATATTTAAAAAACTCTAAAAATGCTCTATAGATGCTCTTATATTACCTTTAATACTCAACCTTTCGTCTCCCACTTGAAAAATACTAATTTTAATCTTCAATTAAATTTTCTCCAATTTTTAATCATTTTTACTAGTTTTTTTAGTTAACTAATTTATTATTATCTATCTAAAATGTTCGTTAACCCATCCCCTCCAACCTCTTTTTTTTAGCTTTACAAACATACTATCATATTTAGCATTCATTATTTTTACTATATATATATATATATATATATATATATATATATATATATATATATATATATATCCGGTAAGAAATTTTTTTTGGTAGGAAGGTAAGAAGTTTTTTTTCTATATATTTTTTTGACGAACAAAATAAATGAATCACTAGATAAATCAAAAATAACATGATTCACAAAAAACATCTCGATAATTCATTTATACAATGATTTTATTGTTATTTACTAAAATTGTCATAAAAGTGATTTTTTTTTCTTAATTTACTTAAAAATGAATCATGAAGATGTTTTTTTGAGAATTTTTTCTTATGAATCATCTAATGATTCATTTTGTTTGTTCGCTACAAAGATATATAGAAAAAATTTCTTACCTTTCTACCAAAATTTTCTTTCTTATTTGATCTTTGACTCTATTTATTTAAGACCTAAATATTTAAATAAAATTATGACTAGCATTTATTTGAAATATATAAAATATAAATTAATACTTTATAGTTATAAAAAATGTTAAAATGTATGGTCATTATCAGCATAGTATTTAATAAATGAGATATTATTTTATATTTAATAAAAGAAATTGGTAATGATAAAACAAATATTTAAAGTTTAAATATAATTAATAAATTAATGATATATTATTGAATAAGAAGAATTAAAATTGTCCTATTATTAAGCATTGAACAGTATTAATTGATCGTTCATATAACTTAATCAAATTTACTAGTAATACATTGCAACAAATAAAGCTTTAAAATTTTCAAATAACCTGATATAAAATTGTCCTATTATTACTTATGTATACCACCAAGTCATGAGACGCTGGCAAATGACTTCCCATTCCTATGTTTCTAGATGTCGTTGCACCGACGTTAATTCTTCCCAAATCACGTCTCCTATATACTGCACCATCCATGATCCAACCCTTATTCATCTTCATCACTTCTTTCTAACTATTTTTACTGAATCTTCTTTCTGGAGCTTAAGATGAATCCTGCAACAATAGAGATCAAAGTCGATAACAAATCCAATGACATTAATGACGAAAATGACGACGCCTTCTCCCTCCGTGACCTTCAAATGTACGACAACACCAACGCCAGTTCCACCCACAGCAGCCCTAGAACTTCATCTGGCCAAGAACTATTCGAGTTCTTCCACACTCTGTCAAATCCACCTGAAACTGTAGACATTGTGTTCTGCGGTAAAGTTATTCCTGGTTTGGTTGGTAAAGGCAACGATGATCACTTTACACTTGTTAGATCGCCATCGTCGAGGTTGCCTGACCCGCCTGCAGTCAAGCACGCGATCCCGATGCGATCCGCGTCGTTCTCGACGTCGGTGAAGAAAATGAATATCACTTCGCTGACGTCGATGTCTTCCAAGTCCAGGCGGAGGATGTTTATGTTTGGGCCGGTAAAGTTTTTGCCGGAGATGGAGATGAGCGCGATAAGGGAGAGACAGGGACGTCGTGCTCCGTCGCAAATGTTCCCGGTGGCGGAAGGTGGTGGTAAGGAGACGACGGTTAAAGTGACTGCCGGGCGGCATAAGAATCAGAGGGATGCAGTAAAGAGATTGACGTGCAGGGCCCGCCTGAATACGGTGTTTGAAAGGTCGCTTGCTTGTCTTCGGCTTTGAATCGACATTTCTTTTGGAATTCACTTTGACTTTTTTCCATCACTTTGACTAATGTTTTCCTAGCTCTTAGAGATTGAGGGTTCAAATCTCATTAAAAACATAATTGGTATTAGGAGTATTTTAGGAGTAATGTAGATCTGATATACTAAAAAAAACTAATTTATTTGTTTGATAGCTTATACTTTTATAGCTTTATATTATTCTAACTAGGATTTATTAGTTATAGATAATTATTATATAGATTTCACGAGATGAGTAATAAAGAAATTTGGTATATGTATAATAAAGGCTGTTTGATGGCATCTGAATTTTTAAGATCTGAATTTTAACCTGTTGTTTGGTTGAAACATCTGAATTATTATGCTGAATTATAAAAATGACCATTATACCCTTGTAATTTAAAATTTATGTTTATAAAATAAACAAATCAACTTCTTGGGTAATTATATAAACAATATAAACGCCATAAAAAAATCCAAAAATTAAACATAAGTAAAAATTATAACACAAATTCAAATCAAAATGAAGCTTTTACCTATATAAACAATTTCCTTCCGCAACATTAAAAAACAACAGATTTTACAACAGATTCTCACAGAACATGTAATATTTACAACAAAATAATACAAATGATAGAAAGAATCACAAGCAGAAACAAAAATTACACCACCAAGTCCTTCAAAATAATCCAGAATTCAACAATAAAATTTTTGTTTCGGTCGATTCGTCAACGCCATCAATGCAAGTTTGATTAATGTTTTACCCAATATACCTCATATACCTCCACCTCCAGACACTTGCAGCACCAAAATGTTTGCACAATCCTCTAGACCATTGAACCACTTTAAATGTGTGCATGAACACAACCCTCCTTCTTGTAAACCCAAACACCCATTTGTATAGAATGGCAGTATACATCATCGAAAATAAACAAACATCAACGACAATAGTGATAATCAAATACAGGGCAAATAAGAAGAAAAAATTGATATATCTGCTGAGAGTTGTTTTTCATTGCAAAATGATAATAATAATAATAAATGAAAAATAAATGAAAACAATGATTTATGTGGCAACCGTATTCAAAACAAAAAAGAAAGAAGAAGAAATCGATGTATGTGTTGAGAATGATTTTTCAGGGAAATAATAAAAGAAAACCTAACTTGCAACAGTCGGAGTTGCTAGCGGCGGCGGCGAAGCTGTCGGAGGCGTTGAAGTCGGTGGCACCAGGCGATTTTTCCAGATCAAAATCTTTTGTTGCAGATCAAGAGGCAGGAGAGGCAGGAGAAAGGACGATGGAGTAGAAAGGAAGAAAAAAGAAGCGGCTAAATAATAATAGGAGCAAGTGCGTCTTTTTTTTAATTCAAATGTAATTCTACATCTGAAACTTGAAGAGGTATCTGAAAATTAAGAGGTTTTTTTCATACCCTACCAAACACTCTATATCTTAAAAATTCAGACATTGCCTCAATTAAGAGGCTACCAAACAGCCTTAAGTAAAATATAATTTATAATAAATTAAGTTCAATTATATATAAGAATGTATTTTTTACTTGTACAAACAAAAATGTATAAAAAACCAAAAATTTTATACATTGTTGCAACTTTATATTCATGAAAACAAATATGTAAAGAAAAAAAAACTATATTACAAATTTATGAAAAAAATATTAAACAAAACATGCAAACAAAAATAAATATGTTAAAAAATTCTTAAAAAATAGTTTTATAAAAAATAATTCAATAAAAATGATTTTGTAAAAATCTAATTAGTAAAATAAAATGTAAAAAAAAGGTTGTAAAAGTTATTTTTATAAGCAAAAACCTAAGTTCAAAAATATATAAAAACACAATTGTAAAAATATTGTGGAAAAATTATAAAACATTTGGACAAAATTTTTAATAAAATTTAAAATTTTAATTAAGTTTGTAAAAAAAAATAAAAAGTTAAAGAGAGTATACTTGGTTTAGAAGCTTGGATATAGGTTTGGCATTCGTGTCGTGTTCGGGTTGACGGGTCGGGGGGTTGGCGGGTCAAAATATATCAACCCGAACACGACCCAATTAATTATACAGGTCACGGGATAGGGGATTTGGAACATAAACTCATATATATGACCCGTTAACCTACTTATTTATACGAGTTCATAGGTTGGCGGGTTTGTGGGTTCGTGGGTCGGATTTGGGTTCGTGTTATCGTGGGTCAGATTCCATAAATAAAATTGATAATTAAACATGAATAAATTCCTTATGCAAACATATCCGAATTTTAGAAACTTAAGTCTTAAACATCCAAATGAAAATTAAAAACATAGAATCATGTTCAAACTAAAACATTAATACAAACATAGATAAATTAAATCGCAAGCGTCGATGTCGTTCGATAATGATTCAGTCATTCATGTCGTCGTTCTTGTGAGATACTGAGATTATTTATAGCAAACGTCAAACGTGTTGCAATGCAAATCAACAGATAGTTACCCATGGCTCAAATGGTCAATGGTATTGGGTATCCTATACTAGTATAAAGTATAAACTGTATAGTGTATAATACTTAATACATTTAAAAATATATAATTTTATTTATTAAAATTCTAAACGGGTTGGCGGGTTGACAAGTTGAAAAACTCAACCCAAACCCGTTTATTTCATGTCGTGTCATGGGTCGTGTCGTGGGTCGTGTCGAGAATTGTCAGGTCTACTTGGATATGATGTTTAGTAGGTGGGCTTCAGTGTGGATCTAAAATAGATCAGGTTTATATGCATAAAACATTATTAAAAAAACCACAATCATTACTAAATCCTCACACTTTACAAAGGATTGTTTGATTTTGTTGTATACCAAGTCAAAACCTGTTAGTGTAAGGACTTCGTTTTCCTCTTGAAAGTTTCCTATAAAGAAAAAGATTAGTAGCAAACGTGGTGGCTGAGGCTCGAGTTGGAATCGATTCCCTTAAACAGATTCTCTGTGTGTTCCCAGGGTACAACAACCTTAACAGTGGTGTATTGTCGGATATTTCACTTGCCTGAAAGAGTCGCCGGAAGTAGGAGTACAGAGAAGGAGGAGAAAGAAGAGTATTTGCATTCATATGCTGAATGAGACAGTAAAGGTCTCTTTTATAGTTGAATCGTGTAATGGAAATAAATCAATAGTTGATTGAGCGTTTAATGCCAATAAATGTCATTAATTACGTAATTAATGCATCCGTTACAGAATTCAAAAATAGGGACCAAAACTGTCAAGTTTAGCAAAAACGAGAGTAGCGCGTGCCCGAGTTTTCGGAGCTGCAATCGTGTCCGTGTCCGCAGGTCGCGCCCATGCACAAGTTCGGTGTTTTTGGTCTACGAAATCCAAGATTTGCACCCCCCCTGTGCGCATGTAGGAATTGTAGTAAAACCATAGACACAAGCTTGTAAGCCTTTCATTCATTCAAGCTTATAAACCTTGTTGAGTTTGGTCTTTCTACCAATGTGGGACTCATTCCCACATTCATCCCTTTTTGCTAAATTTATTCTCAAATACCCTTCTTTGAGTATCGATATCACATTCACATATACTCCATTTTGGACATATAATATATCGTTTCGAAGTCCTCGTGGAGGAGAACACAAACCCACTTAGAGTTAGTTATATATAAAACATATGTATATATATTTATATATGTCCAAAGTTAGTAAAAATATAAATATTTATACTAAATTTTCCAACAATCCTCCACATGAATGGAGATCGATCTCTGCACATCCAATTTCCAAACAAAATTTTCAATAGTTGAATCCTGCATAGGATAGGTAGGTATTACCCTTTGAACCCTCCCTTAAGATGTTACACTTAATCTCCTAGCAGTTAGTAGATCTCGATGTCTTTGAACTAAGCTGCCATTTGTGTAGACAACAATGTAAATCTCACAGGACTCTCCCTGACAATGCCATATCCTCATAGACATGTTCGTTTTGGTCATGAACACTAACCTGGTTCTGCAAGAGCTTTAGGAATTGTGCCCGTTTAATTCCCTTTGAAGCGAACCCACTTCTCCCTCACATAGGTGATTCCAAGAATCATTAAAAACCATATGTTTAGCCTAATTTTGTCACTACATATAGGATTGGACTAGGAAGTAGTGTTAACTCCCCCCACAGTGACCTGCCTCACTCATACAATTAGGTTATCCTTTTGAACCCAGATCTTGGGATCTCCATTCTTCTAGGTAAGGTTTCCTTCGTATGAATTTATTCATTCATGGGCTTTAGTCTCATTCCTCTTGATGACTTATAAACTACATCTCTACTCAAGCCTTTTGTAAGAGGATCCGCAATGTTATCCTTTGACTTTACCCAGTCAACCGTGATAACCCCCGTTGAGATTAGTTGTCATATCGTTTTATGTCTACGTCTAATGTGCCTTGATTTCCCATTATACATTGTACTTTGAGCTCTACCAATTGCCAATTGGTTATCACAATATATACATATGGTCGTTACCGGCTTAGGCCATTCAGGAATGTCCTCTACAAATTGACGTAGCCACTCCGCCTCTTCAGCACAAATATATAAGGCGATAAATTCAGATTCCATCGTGGATCTGGATATAACTGTTTGCTTGGATGATTTCCATGCTACAGCAGCACCTCCAAGTGTAAACACATATCCACTTGTAGATATGGAATCTTTTATGTCAGATATCCAATTTGCATTTGTGTATCCTTCGATAACTGCTGGATGTATGCCATAATGCAGTCCATATTTCACGTGTATCTCACATACCTTAGCAACCTAGTAATACTCTTCCAGTGTTCATAACTGGGTTTACTAGTGTATCTACTTAGTCTGCTCACATCATATGCTAAGTCAAGTCTGGTACAACTCATTAGATACATCAGACTGCCAATAATTCTTGAATATTCCACTTGATTAACACTGTCACCTCTATTTTTACGTAGATGTTGACTAGTGTCAATTGGAGTTCTAGCTATGCTAGTATCTCCCTTAGCAAAGTTTTC